AAAACTGCCTTTACCTTTCCTGTACTAGTATCCAGCACTGCAGAGCTTGGAGGAGGGATTTCAAGTAAGGCCTTTTTTTGGCTTCCATGAAAATCATCCTGATATCAGCCAAGACATAAACACTGGAGGAAAAATGTAACTGTTCCCATAAAATCAAAGTCTTTGGGGTTCTGCAACTAAAGTGGGACACTCCAGTCTGCTCAAGTTCACAACCTGGTGACATTTGGCACCTGCCGTTTTAGAATTATAGTTGTTGATGCATTAATGATGATTAACTGTACCTTTTTATTGGCACTAGAACTGAAAACAGAGAGCTGTTCCACAATTCCTGCCAAAGTGATGGCCAGTTAGGAAGAAATCTCTGATTTGGATCTCAAATAAACCAGGGAAGACTGACCAAGTGACATGATGCTGGAGGCATGCAGCGAAGAAAATAAACTGGGAACTGGATAAAAACAAGAGGACTGGGAAAATGGGAAAAACAGCTCCAGCAGAGTGGGAACAGAGTCTAACCCMAGGTCTGAGGTACATGGGGTGCAGAAGAAATCACTTGGGTATTGGTGCCCCAAAGCCCCTGCCCAAAAGGGGTGATGGAACTGAAGAGAAGTTGCTCTGCTGTTAGATGGATCCCACAAGGAAATAATGTGAAGTRTAAGACCAAAGAAATCCTAGTTGTTAATTTGGGGAAAACCAGCATCATTAATTGCAAGAGATTGGGTGACCTTGAATTTTTGGRCAGCGGAGTTCTCCTGAAGTGCAGCTTATCATTTACATGAGCAGTGAGGACTGTGCTCAATTAAATCTTCAGCAATTTTAGGACTAGACTCCAGGAAGCCTCCAAACCTGCAGCCTCAGCTACTCTTTTGTCTTAATTTAGGTAATCTGGGACAACTTTCCAGAAGAACAAGACATTCCCAGCAAGTCCCAAACATGCCTGCTRGAAACAAGGTGTCCCTATTATGATGATTACTTTTTACACATTACAAAACTCCCCTCCTCCAGTCTTACTGTGAGGCAGCAGAAATGTCAAAACAATTATAATGACGATAAATGGCCGAATCATTCCTGCAAGGTTCAGTGAGGATTTCAGGAAGCTCTGCACTGTGATGAGCAGAAACTCCTGTGGGAAGAGCTGCGCTCCTCGAAGCAGGTGATGCTTCTGTGAGTAGGAATATCTCACATTTCAAGTGGAGTAAAGTGCAAAGTAAGCACTGGGAAAGCAACGGCTGGCATGGAAAGATAAGCACATGCTAAAAGCCATCCAGCACCACGTGAGTCTCTGGTCCCAGCAAGGCTCGCTGTGACTTTGCCGCATTCTGACTGAATATTGCAAGAAGGAAAACAAAAATAGAGTCTGAAGAGTGTTATTACCAATTTTCAGCAAAGAACCAGTTAATGCCAACTAAGTGATACTTCAATCACTCTGCTGCATTGCAAAGTACAGGGAAAGATGACCCCAAGTTCAACGTTTTCCAGCAAAAACRAAACACCCCACAAGCAGGCTGACTCCTATGCAACTTTACATGTGCTGTTTCTCCCAGTTCTTCCACACTGCTTTGATAGCTTGGAAATGTATTTAGCTTTGACATTGTCAGAGTCAGTCATGTTGTCAGGCTCAARTGTGTTTCAGACAAAGAAAAAACCAAAGGAAACCAAGGCAATTKGGAAGGACTCAGTAATTATTATAAAAGCAAAGAATGGGCCTTGAAGGATGAGGCTATTGCAGAACATAGGAACACGTAACAATCACTGATGTACTACTTGTGAAGACCATTTCCAGCAAGAAAACAAATCCACGAGGAGGCAGGAGAGCAGATGGCAGAGATACAAAWTGTACTGTCCAGAACAACAGTGTCAGGGCCATTCTGAGATCCATGGTCACACCTTGCCCAGGAAACCTGAGATGCCACTGCCCTGGCACTGCAGCTCCACCGCTGCACTCCCTCCAGGCTCCACAACTCCTGCGCAGCTCTGAACTCAGGCCWCTCTGCAGATAGACCTTATCTTTCTGAAATCAGTAAGGAATTTGCTACTTGGAACGACCTCCCTGACAGTCCAGAGCAGAGGGTGAACCTCTCCTACAGACAGGAGTAAGAGCCACAGAACACTGTGCCACCAACACCACCAACACTCCAGAGTGACACACCAAGGACTCAGACACGAGGTCTCACCCGAGTTTCCTTCACTTCGTCGTTTCCATCAACTTCATCATCATCCTAGGAAGAAAGGAAAACAGTATAATTAGGCAAGCTTTGGAGACAAGAGAACTTTATCACAAGAAGATAATGTATGGTTTATAGAATCACAGATCATTAAGGTTGGAAAAKACCTCCAAGATCAAACTTAGACCAAACACACCATGTCAACTCAACCACATCACGAAGTGTCATGTCTATGTGTGTTCTGAACTCTTCCAGGAATGGTGACTCCACCACTGCTCTGGGCAGTCTGTGCCAGTCCCTGACCATCCTTTCAGCGAACAAATTATTTGATGCTAAAGTTAAGAAAAATTCTGTCACAAGAAATGCCTATCCAGATGCTCTTGGCTGATTATCAGATCAGGTTTGGTGACCTAATGGCCATTTAGAAGATCTYGGAACTGAGGACAGAATGACTCTCTTGAGATGGCTCCTGCCATTCCAATGCTTCTGAGGAGTTGGGAGGAGCAGGAGCTCCCTAATGCACTAAGGGAACAATCTTGGAAAAACTGCMCATCTGAAACACTGACATAATATTGACTTCCAAAAATATCTTCACTTCAGTYAGACTCCAGGTGGAAAGACTCATCACCCTAGGTATCCTGCACTTGCACAGCCTCTCTAAGACACTGCCCTTTGTAATAGCTCCAGGATTTCATGGAGCAAATGTGAACTACCACGGCATCCCAGCTCACTCTGGACTCAAATTGTTAACCATAATTTTGTAATTCTTATTCTCTTCTGACAAAGGTGATGTACTTTCCTCGCTGAAGCTCCAACCAAAGTTTGGAGGGTTGGATTTCTTCCTTCAGACTGAAGAAATCCTCTGATTCGGGACTAAGAGAAATGACCACAACACAGACAGCTCCTTTGCACTTCTGCTCTGAGTGTTCCCTGGTTTTGGGAGAGGACCCAGACACAGGTTTTCCTGCGATTGTCTTCCTTTCAGCGGGCCTAAGGAGCAGACAAATTTGGGCTCAAAGAAATTTGAAAATACTTCAGGTGACTCGTGACCTCCTGCCAAAGGAATTAAGACTTTGAATCTCCCCTCTCCCATGTGGGCCCTTTCCCAATCCTGCAGGGCTCCCATGACATGGCTCAGGAACAGGCTCCCAGAGCCTGCTGCTTGGTCTGATACTGGGCAACAGGGATGTGAGTCCTTTGGATGTGCCAGTCTGAAACAGAGCTGCAGAGGGAAGGGCTAATGGGAAATCAACTGACTGGGAAAAAAACCCTGGGGCTTGGAAGAAAATTCACCCTGGAGTTTCTCTTTCTAAGGAACTCAAACTTACATCTTGTGTTGAGAAGATGATGCCGGTGCCTCTCCGTCTCTCTTTTGGCCGTCGCCGCTCCCGGATCGACTGTTTGTTCAGGGATCTGTCGTCTGAATCCTGATCTTCACATTCTGGCCAAGCAAAGAAAGACTGCTTTGGTTTCAGTGATTTACATCTGTGCTTTTGCTATGGTTCTGGGGTACTTTTCAAGCTGATCAAGGTCATCTTGACTTGTGTTATATTACAAAGGAGTTATTAAACCAAATGAAATGGAATCTCAGGGTCCTACTACACACTCCTTCACTCACGAGAGCCAGGGAAGTTACCCCAGCTGACAGTGCTCTCCAAGCCATCCTGACTTACTCCTGTTCTRAGGACAAACTGTACTAGGAGAACCTCTTTCCCCAGCTCTAATATCTAAATTCTCCAAGGATCACTGTCTCATTTATTTATCCAAAATGGAAAATATCCCTTTATCCCTCTGTTACAAGAAAAGGAATTTGTTTAACTTCATTTAAACAAGTAACATTTGTGTAGTGAGGGAGCAACTTCCCTCAGAGTAACAARTAAACTTGTTCTCTCTATCTGCACACATTGAAGTTCTGAACCACACGAAATCCCTTGAGATTTGCCTGTTCTTCACTCTCCTGGTACGTACCATTTTTCTCCATCTCTGTGGCTGCCCCTCTGAAATCTGTTGGGTTCACAGAGTCCAGGCCTAGGTATTTATTTGTTCGAGTCAGGTATGAACTTGTGTAGAGCAGAGGTGCTGCTGTGGAAGGAGACACAGGTGTGGTGGGCTTGTCAGGCTGTGCCGGGCCCCTCAATCGCCGATAGACGGTCTAGAAACAGAGTGATGACAGAAAAATAGTACAGTGAAAAGGACGTAGAGATTTTGGATTTCAGAGGATGCAGTAATCTTTCAAAGTGCAATGTTTTCTTCACTGCTGCTGGAAGTGATCACCTGCACTTGCCAGATCAGGTCCATTCTATCAAATAAGGATGAATGCCAGAATCATTGCACAGCTACAGTGTGAGAGCGCCCTCCATTACTGGGAGACCTGAGATCAATCCCTTTGTCCCTACAGCTGATGGTGGAACAAACAAGTTATCTAATAGAAATAGATGATTTAGAATGAAAAAAACAGAGGTGGTGCCAGGGGGAGAAAATGCTCTCTCCAGCTTTCCATTATACATGGAATATCTGTGGAAAAATGTGAACACAAAGCCTCTGCCCAGACTGCACAGCAAGGATGGATCCAGGCCACATTTCTATCATTAGCCTTCTCATTCCACTTTCTGGGATTTACACCAGTTTATTTTCTGGCAAGAGACAGAAAGGTGAAATTCCCAAAGGAGAGCAAAGGCACAGCTAAGCTCTGGCCCCTCCAGATCCACATCCCTCGTGCTGAAGTGCTGCTCCTCAGCCAGCAGCGCCTCCTCCCAGCGAGTCTGCCCCCCTCAGAATGAAAAGACAACCCCCAAAAAGACTTTCTCCTGATATCAGCTCTCCTAACTGGTTTCAATAACCCTCAGGCCAGGGCTATAGAGGCAGAAGGATCACCTCCTCATCGGCGCTCCTGCCCCAGTGTGTGCGGCTCTCGGGCCTGTCACTGCTGTCCTCAGTGCCGGCGGCTCTGTCGCTCTGCTGCTCCTGCGCCTGGCGCTCGGCCCGCGAGCGGCTGAACGTGCGCTCGGCCTCCTGCAGGTCTGTCAGGGTCACCCCCTGCATGGGAACACAYGGCTGCATTGATGCACAGAATCACTGAATCCCACACTGGTTTGGATTTGAAGGGATCCTAAAGCTCATCTCATTCCACCACTGGCAGGGACACCTTCCACTGTCCCAGGCTGCTCCAAGCCCCATTCAAATTGGCCTTGGACACTTCCAGGGATCCAGGGGCAGCCACAKCTTCTCTGTGCACCCTSTGCCAGGGCCTCCCCACCCTCCAAGGGAACAATTCCTTCCCAATATCCCATCCAACCCTGTCCTCTGGAAGTGGGAAGCCATTCCCTGTGTCCTGTCCCTCCATCYCTTGTCCCCAGCCCCTCTCCAGCTTTTCTAGAGCCCCTTTAGGCTCTGGACGGGCTCTGAGGTCTCCCTGGAAACTTCTCCAGCCTGAAATTACATTTTCAGCCTTCCAGGTCAGTTTAAAATGCCACAGACTCACATCTGGTCAGGCTCATGTTTCATCCCCATGGTAAGAGAAAGGGAAGAATTCTGTTGCCTTTACTGTATTTTTCAGCCTCCTGACATAATCACTGACTCGAAGCAACCCAAATATGTGATCACACTACAAATTCAGAGGCAGGTACAGTGGAAATCTAACTCATGTATGTCTGGGGGAGGGTTTTGTAAAATCTTTTCGCAGGAAATTTTGCCAGAGCCTCTTCAAAACAGTGTAAGTACAGACTAGTCCTTTGTCCTAAGAAATCATGTAAGRGTAGAAGAAAAGCCTGCCTCTTTACAGAATTATGGAATGGTTTGGGTTGGAATGGACCTTAAAGCTCATCTCATTCCACTYCCTGCCATGGACAGGGACACCTTCCACTACGCCAGGTTCCTCCACGCCCCATCCAACCTGGCCTTGGATACTTCCAGGGATGGGGCAGCCCCTTCTTCTCTGGGCAACCAGTCCATCRGCTTTATTCAGACTACCCACAAATGTGAGCATTTCCATTCTCTACCTGGGTGGACCTGCGAGTCTGCCGGGCCTGTCTGGATCGTGCCTTCCTCAGTGACTCTGCTTCCTCATCCCGCACTGGAGTCAGATATGACCTGAAAAAAAAACAAACCAAAGGTGCAGAAGAGGTTAAAGTACAAGCAGAYGAACTGCCTTCCTGACTGCAGACTCCTGAGCTATTATGTTCTTTCTCATGGACAAAAATTAATTTTAGCTCYATCTGCTATTGCTGTTGCTTTGGGACAACTTCCCCATGAGCACACAATACACACTTGYTCACAGCACCTTCTCCCCAGAGCCTCTAAACAAACCCTTCAGTGTTGGACATGTTCTGTTAAAAGGTGCACCTATTCTCTACATTATTTGCTCCATTCCAAGTCATTGCATCATTAGAAAAAACCCTCCACTCCCCACAAACCCCCCTCATTCAGACAAAGATCTCAGAACAGAAATCCTGCGCTGGTGCATTCCTCAGACCCTCCTTCCTGTCATTATAGTCACGATCATATTCCTGCAATCTGCTGCCTTCATCAATATGAAACCCATCATGAAACTGCTGAACCGCAGGCACCACGGAGACACACACCTTGGAAAGAGCCATGGAATTAAAGAAATGACCTTCACACTCTGTGTAAACTGAGCTCCTTAACACCGAAAACCCCACAGTTAAAACACAGACCTGGGCACGAGTGAATTTCATCAAAGCTGGGAGAATTCAAAAGAATTGTTCATGTGAAAATACATAAACTGCGCCCTGTGCCCTGGCATTCACTGGGAAGAACTGGTGAGGAATTGGGCAGTGCTTTGAGTCAGGAATGCACAGCAGTAAATGATTTCCATGCTGGAGGAAAGGCTTCAGTCTTATGAACAGTTAATTAAATYGGACTCTTCAGAGCCTGGTTAATAGGCAATGATTATTCACACGGTCCCACTGTACAGGGATGAGGCTGCTGRAATGTTCCTTGCAGTTCTATCACTGCCAGGTTAACACTGTACCAGAGGTCTGGATGTGTTCAAAGGGCAGCGAGTTAAGTGGGGATGAAGGTGAATACGTTTACTTTGTCCTTGGACTCTTTTGCTGATTTTAGTAGACCACCTTCATGGAATAGGTAATGAGCTGAAGAGGATTTCTATTTCATCCAGTACATTAAGATATTTATTAGAAAGTTCACTAAACTGCTGCACTGTGAGAAAACACAGACAACCAGGAAATCTGTCTAATTCTAAAATGATGCTATGGTGGGTTTTATCCAGCCTCAGGACTTGTGTTCAGCGCTGGTTCAGCTGTGCAGCAAATGCAGCCTGGCCTCCAGGGTGGAATCCCCTTCACAGGGTTCCTCAGCTTGTGGGGAGTACAGACAGTTACCTCCCTGCTGCTCAGGGGTTGTGGGCTCATGTGAGAGTCTTCTCAGCTGAAACTGGTGTAAGGATTTGACCTGATAAATTATGCCCTGAATGAAAGTGCAGAGGATTGACAGTCTGTGCCAGGGATGCTGCACTGGGAACTCCTGGAGGGGCAGTTTCAATCTCTGCTCTCTGTGACCCTGCACAGGACCTGAGGGAATGACATGTACCAGAGCCAGGGCAGGGTCAGGCTGGATCTCAGGGAAAGGCTCTTCCCCCAGAAGGTGCYKGGAACTGCCCAGGCTCCTCAGGGAATGGGCACAGCCCCGAGGCTGCCAGAGCTCCAGGAGCATTTGGACAATGCGCTCAGGCCCAGGGTGGGATTGTTGGGGTGTCTGTGCAGATCCAGGGATTGGACTGGGTGATCCCTGAGATCCCTTCCCACTTGGGARATTCCATGATCCTCTGAACRGTGTCCTGGGAGCTGCCTGCAGTGRAGATGTCCCCAGCCGAAGGCTCGTGGAGCTGCATTCTCAGGCTGTGATTTATCACCAGCAGCCTCCAGCACAGCCCATGTGGATGCACTGCAGAGGAGCTCATTTYTTCCCATTGATTATCCAGACAGACACACGAGCTGTGATGGATATGCCAACACGGCAAGTGCCTACACTTCAGAGGGATGATTGTCTCCCAAGAATCTGCTGTTTCATGAACAAAAAAAAGCTGCTGTTTGATGCATGAAAGCTGTGCAACTCCTAATTTTGCAGAGCAGGAGCTCTCCTGCTCTCCCTGCTGCAGTGTGTGCACTGTCCAGGTAATGGCACATTAAGGAAACAATAAGCATTTTCTGCAGCTTTTGACACAAGCAGAATCACTGCTGTTTGCCCAGCAGCCAGAAGCAATAAGCCACCCACTGGAAGAAGGCATTTGCAAAATATACTGCAAATGAAGTTCAGAGCAGTAGTAAAAAAAATATAAATTCCTGAAATATATAAACGAAGTAAATTTGTAGCTCAGAAAGGCAGGCAGTTTACTGCAATGGCTTTGAATCAGTGGAATTTAAATCAGTGGAATTTCCTCTGCAATGAGAACRCAGGTATGTAGGAGCTACAGGTACAGAGAGGACAAAACAGGTTTTCAAATGAGCTTCTGGAAAGGTTTGACAAATCCATGGGGACCAGGTCAGCCCCAAGCGTGGGGAGGATCTGCAGCAGGGGCAGCCCAGGCAGTTTGCAGGAGGCTGCAGGATTCCCTGTGCAGCTCAGCCACAGCTTTGCAGTGGGTATGGCAAGAGAAGAAACATTTTGAGGTCTCTTACTCCGTCATCCTCCCAGGCTTTTTCCCTCTGCTCTCCCAGAATTTATATAAAAATACAGATATGCTACAGCATCATTAGCAATTTTGGGAGTACAGTCTGTAACAGRGACTTGATCTTGAGCCGAGCACGTCCTGCAGGTCAGCGTGGCTCAGCCTGGGCTGCAGCCGCTATCGATCGCCAGCTTTTGGGTTCTTTCCATTTATACAATTCATCAAGTCCTGGAGCTCACCCAAAGCCATTTACAGCATGAGATAACCAAATTTCCTGAGGCAAGTCAGCAGAGCCACAGCACAGGGACAGAGCTGGTTCCTGCGAGGAGGCAGCTGCAGCCTGCTCCAGGTGCCAAAGGAGGGGCTGTGCTGTCAGTACCTGGAACCGCCCACAGCAGCTCAGCTGTACCCTGCTTGGGAACTCCTGTGCTTTGCCTTTTAATTCAGGGCGTAGGGAGGGAAAAGACAGATTTTACAATGTGTTGCTTTGCTTCCAAACTGAATTTTGAGAGACCTGAGTGTGCTAAATGGGCTGGAAGAGAGAGAGAGAACAAATGCACTGCAAGGAGACGGCAAGCCGGATTCAACTCAGGGCTGGGCTGGGCTGGATGGCACAGGCACAGCAMCATGCTGCTCTCCAAAGCACAAACACCGCAGAGCACAGCAGGCTGCAGGGCACAGGCACCAAATGGGGTGAGAGGCAGCCTCTGAACAATCTACAGAGTTTTTAATTATGTTTTAAAGGAAAACACTGCTTGCTCAAGTGCAGTGCCTGTGTCATCCTATTAATTCAAGCAAATATGTCAGGATCCAAGCAGATCTTYAAAGGAATGCCCTATGTGTTGTATTTTCTTGCAATAAGCTTTCTCTGAGAAATACTTGAAGAGCAGCCATCACACCAAGCTCAAGGCACATATAAAGCAGAACAGATTTTTACCAGAGTTTTGGCTGTAAATGCAAGGAAAAGAACRGAAATTGTTCAAGATGTGTATGTGAGAGTCAGCAAAACCACTGCAGAGGTTTACAGCTCCCACAGAGACAAGTRTGTCCTGCTGCCTTGAGAGAGCTACAGGCTTCTGGTTTGTGTATTAGCTAGGAAAAACCTAGAGACTGAATGATGAACCTGGCTCCCACTTCATTCTGCTTATTTTCAAGAAAACACCTATTTTTCTCTGTCAGCTCTTTCATCAAGGACAGTGCAAAACACATGGATCCCAACTACTCATCACTATGTCAAGGCAAAAGGAGCTGCAACAATACTAACAGAAGCAGAGGTGCAACAATACTAACAGAAGGGGAGGTTCAACCTGCGGAAACAGGAAGGCTGGATGTACGAGCTGATACACCAGGAATACATGAACAAATGTCAGAAAATCCTGGCTGGAGGAAAAGAAAAGAACATATTGTGAGGAGAAATCCCTCCCAAATCAAGGCTGAACGATGCAGAAAAAAGAGTTAGATGCCCTGTTGGTTGGTGCACAGGTAACAAGAACAAAAGAATAATTTCTCCAAGAAACACACAGACTTCTGACAATCCTTTTATGACACTGGTCTCCTTTCCTGCTGTTCTGAACTCTTTCAGACACTCAGAGCTTGAAGCGTTTTGGCAAACACCATTCACCATCATGGAGTGGTTTGGCAGAACATCATCCAGTCCCAGAGGGAACAACAAGATTGTGCAAAACTTGGAGTTTTACATCACCAACATGTGGCAGAGCAGCTGGGGCTGCCCCATTCCTAGTGGTGCTCYAGGCCAGGTTGGATGGGGCTSCAAGCCACCTGGTCTAGTGGAAGGAGCTCCTGCCCATGGTAGCAGCTGGAATTASATGAACTTAAGTTCCCTTCCAACCCAAACCTTCTGGCATTCTATGAAAACCTGCCAACAAACTTGGAAGCTAAACATTCACCAAGTTCTACAGCTGTCCTCTTCTCAGAGTGGGTTCAARGAATTTCATTCTGCCGTCAGGACTGAAAATTGAGACACACCCCCACACAAGCTGTATTGAGCCATGACAGGTTTCCTCCATCCCTGTCAGAACATTCTCCAATAAATCCAGGTCCCACAGCCAGCACAGTAAGAACATGAGTTGCACAGAGTWACTGGTCCATCATTAAGAGTTATTCCCAGTCTCTGGGAATGAGACTCTGCTGGTTGTGAACTGGGGCTGGGCTTGATGGGGCTCTTCTAGAGGAAAGCTCYTCCTGGGCCCTCTCCAAATCCTCTCATCTCTTTCTAGTTTAGGACTGAACTACACACACTAGATCAGAATCAACAGGGCCAGTTTCCTTGGAAGCCAGGACAGATTTTGGCTCCTTCAGATCMAGGTAACACAGGTAAGGGAAGCTAGACACAGGTTTGGCTCCCTGTGCACAAGGTGTGTTCAGCACATGGAAAGTCATGTGGCTATTCAGACTCTCAAATGTTTGCAACTTCTCAAGAAGA